CGAAGCATGTTTGGTTGGATCAATGCGACAGGACTGTCACACAAGAAAGAAGCCGCACATGGGACACAATCTACAGACTGTCTTTTGTATAATGTAATACCAGTGTGGCCGAGGCTTCGTGAAAGAATCCGTCTGAGAAGCGCAAGGCTTGACGCGCGAGCTTGCATGACCACAGTCTCGGCTGCTCTTCATTCGTGATAATACTTATAACTGTATGCGGGCCGCAAATTCGTCTGCTTCTTCTTGCACAGGAGTTACGATGACGTCAGACTGCCAAACTCTTTATGGTTGATTGAAAACAAAAAAATATATATATATATGGTGGGTAGACTTGGAGGCGTCTAGCACCGAGGTGTGCCCACTACCCTTCCAATCAAAGCCAATCAGAACTCGGCGTAGTTCTGACGTCACCGAAACCGCTGCGCAAAAAGCAGACGACTTGTTCTCTGCATAGTCACTGGCAGCAGAAGAAAACCGAGGCCTGGCGAGTCCCGTGCGTCTAATCATCGTTCCGTGGCGAGCAAAAATTATGGCACTTGGTAATAAGGAGGCAAAAAAATAAAATCATGAAGTGTGAACATATTTTAGCCCCGCCCTGCGTTTTTTATGCTGCCAGTTCCTATTCATGGCTTGCACTGACATCACATCGCATACTTTTGACCGCCATGTAAGAGAAGGAGACGGAAGCTGCTTTTGTAAGAATTTTGAGTGACGGGTCCATCTTCTATAATCTTCTGAGAGGAGAATAGCGACGTCCGTGCGAATCCGGGAGGCACAAAAGAGGATCCTGATGAGAGAAAATCTCCTTCTTCCCCTCTGGTGGCCATCGGAGCGCCCTTCGAATGACGTCACGTGCAAGCCATGTATATAGAGCGGCTTTTCCGTTAAAAACAAACAAATACGCAACTCTACGATGTTGTCCGATTGTTTACCCCAAGGATCGTTCCTGGGTTCGATCCCCACCTCCTGCTCGTTTCGGTCAACGTGAACATACTGCTGGCGTGCGGTGAGGCAATGCCTACTGCGCGATGCACGTTAAATATCCTGCAGGTTGGCAGTCATATAGTGTGCTGAGAAAAACAAAACAAAACAAAAAAAAGTTCGCGTGTACAGCGTGAACCAGTATCGCTGTACATCAAACCCTTCGTTAGATAAACATTCGTCGACTTGTTGTTGGCTTTAGCTTTCTGACGTCTTCCACCGGGAGCACTTCTTTCTCGTAGCTACTCTCACTTGTCAGTCAGTTTTTCACTCTTCCGTATGAGACGAAGGGAAAACAATAGCGGGTTTTCGAATAGCGTAATCAAAATCTTTTGCGTACGAAACGCAATAGCGTCGGCACCATGCGCCAATCAAAAACGCGGTTTAGGCTCGGCGCGTGCGCACTGGTGACGATGCTATTTCTTTTGCGTACGCTATTCTCACACTCGCCAGTATTGACTCTCGCAAATAACTTCTGAAACCCGAAACACTATATAGCCGCGACCTTTCCGGCACCGACTCCAATATACTGTGGAGTTAAGGAAATACAAATGTTGGCACGGATCTCGCGCTTTAATGCCAGAATAAAAATTCTTCAGAGACGCTCAAGACTGCTTACGTGTAGGAATGCGAAAGCATTCCTACAAGCAGCGCGCCGCGTCTTCTTTTTTCGCACGGCGTTCCGTCGGTGACATCAGGCTCCCCCACTGCGCAGGCGCAGTGAACCTCGCCGGCTTCACGATTGCTTCCATGACGAAGCATCGGCGTCGCTGTGCTTTTCTTTGTGTTTTCTTTCCAAGGCGCGTCCGCTTTGACGTTGAGCGTCCCGCCGGCTTCCGTGACGAGGCATCTGCGTTGCTGTGATTTTCTTTGGGCTTCATCTCTGAGGCGCGTTCGCTTTGCAGCCGATGGGAATTTATGTGCCGTTTCTCTCAGCCCATGAGAATTTACGTGCCGTTTTTTGCTGCTACAGACATTTATAACGTCGGCTTCGCTCCGTGAGACAGTTAATAATTCCGCAATGTTGTGGAGTGTCAGCAAACTAAGAAATGAAAGGCTGCGCTTTTTTTTCCCCTCAAAATATGCTTTCGTCATGCGAATTAAATGGTATTAGACGGTATTAAATGAGGGCGGAGAGAGATGCCATTTCAAACATCCGTACTTCGAGAATACAAGTAGGTATGTTACAGAGCGGAGCTGACTATCGAACTTTGACCATATAAATGACCAAAGAGAAATGGTGTCGCTAAACCGCTCAGTAAGAACGCCCCACTTTTTTTTAGCTTAACGAAATCGGAGCAGTGTCAGTCAACGCCTTTCTTTCGAGACTGGCACCCGCAGAAATAAGGCTCCACCTAATGCCTAATCCATGTGGGTGCACTGAGCATTAAACGAAGCGGTCCTCGTGTTGCTCGAACGTACATCTTTCCCGAACGCCATCACCACAGCCGCTGCCAAGGTGAGAACAGCAGGGCGTCTCTTTCGGATGCCCAGCCTTGAGCACGCGTACGTCGCCTTCCGCCGTGCTTTGGCTGCGCGTGCACACTCGATAATCACGAGACGCCGAAACACTATCGAAGGCAGAAAGCTCGCGCTGGAGGCGGGACAACTGAAACTCCTCTCCGCTGTTCTCCTTCTGTCATGACTATGCGGAACGCAAGTTCGTCTGCTTCCTTTGCAGAGGTTATGGTGACGTTAGAACACCGAGATCCGGTTGGCTCTGATTGAATGATAGAGGGTAGACCTCGAGGCAGTTTGCTTTGAGGTATACCCACCATCCTAGAATGAAAGCCAATCAGAATACGGCGTCGTTCTGACGTCACAGCAACCCCTGTGCAAGAAGCAGACGACTTGCTCTCCGCATAACCCTGAAAACCCGATGAAGAGCAGGATATGAGAGCACGTGGGGACGTCAGTGCGCCGAGCTCTGATTGGAAGCTTAGTGGCTAAACGCGAAGGCTAGCTGCGCCTTTGTCTCCAGCCAGCGTTCGAACGCGTTCCAATCTGTTGTTTAGAAAGTCTCTTGAACAGGGCAGAGGTACCTCTTAACTGCAAAAATGCAAATGCAGTCCCTATACACAAAAGTGGCGACAAAACCAAAACATCTAACTAGACCAATCTCATTGACAAGTGTTTCCTGTAGCACGTTGAGCACATTATTTACTCTAACCTAATCAGCCATCTACAAGCAAATAATTGTTTTTTATCCAATGCAACATGGATTCAGGATGGGATGTTTGTGCGAAACACAATGGATAGAATTCACGCATGATATGGCTACTTCGATAAACAGTGGCCATCAGGTTGATTGTGTTTCCTTGGACTACTGTGAAGGTTTTGATTCTGCATCACACTCTGTTATTGCAAAGGTTATGTGTCGTTCACACTCCAGATGCACTTTTAAAGTGGATTGAAGCCTATCTAGTTGGAAGAAAGCAAAATATGGTTCTGGATGGTTACGGTTCGTCAGATGTTGCCATGTTATCGGGTCCGTTTTGGGGTCCCTAGCTTCTTTATTTGATATTTATAAATGCTCTCGCTGCGAAAGTTTCTAGCCGTGTAAAACTATTTGCCGATGACTGCTGCGTTTACCCTGACGTCTGATGTGAAGCACATTCCGAGCTTTTAGAAAATAACCTTGATTCGATTTGATTTTGGTGTCAAACATGGAAAATGTCACTCAACTTCAACAAGTGAAATATAGTAAGGCTTACGAATAAAAGGAGAACTGTAAACATGAAAGATTTCCTAGGTAGTACAAGTTTGCCTATAGTAACAGAATATAAATATTTAGGGGTTTTGTTCTCCAGACCGTTGTCTTGGAACGCGCATGTAAATTATATATCTTCTAAGGCTAGCCGCACAATAAACTTTCCTATAGGCAACTTTAGGCAAGCACCCGTAAAACGTGGATAAACGTTAAATATGGCAACCGTACGTCCCATTTTAGAATGTGCTTGCACCGCGTGGGACCTTCACACCAGGTCAAATGTGGATAAGCTAGAGCGCATATAAAACCAGCAGCGTGTTTTGTGTCGGGTAACTATGATTTTTTTTAAAAGCTCATCTGCCATTTGTAAGAAGTTAGGGTGGCCCTTGCTTGCTGTCCGGCGGACGCATCTGAGATTGTCCTTGTTTTACCACATATTCAATGGCCGAAACGGCATTCATAAAGAACAACACAGAAAAGATCCAACTTATATGTCGCCCCGTACAGATCATCATCTAAAAGTCTGCGAGTACAGGAGCAGAATAAATACATTTAAATACGCATTTTTTTCCGAGATCTCGAAACGAACGGAATAGCCTACCAGATGAAATTGTCTCCTCGCCAGCTTCGTCTTTTTTCTTTTTTTTCGGTTCTGCTCAGAGTTTTTTTTTTTTGTTTGTATACGTTTCGATTTGTGAATCTGATTGCTAATGTGCTCGCCAAAGTGATGTTTTCTTCTTCTTTTTTATGAATTTTTTTTTTTGTTATGTCATTGTTTTCATACCGGATGTCATTGGATTTTTGTTTCGAGCTTTATAATTTACATAGGTCTTTTTTTTTTGTATTGTGTATACCCCTACAATATAGCCCTGGTAAAGGCAATGTAGGTAAGCGAACAAATAAATAAATGCCGAGCGCCGGCGTCCGGGATTCGAACGCGAGATACTGCACGACGAGCCGACGACGCTCTCGTTCGCTCTGGTTGGAGCGAATCTCCTCCTCTCCCTTAGTTTCTATCCGCATAGTGGATCCACGCAGCGTTCAGTTCGTTTGTTGCCTGGAGCGGATCGGTGGTCCACTAACGATGACGTAACGCACAATCAGTGCAGATTGTTGGGCGGGATGGTACTGGGTATTTAAAAACATGGTAGCGCTTGAAACGAGCTGACAAAGGAGGAGAGAGTCGGCAACACAGAGCGCTCCGTGTCGTCCAGTTTCCTCCCCTGTCAGCTCGTACAAAGCGCTATACCATGCTTTTGAGCAACGCGCGAGTCTTGTCACTTTCAGGTGGCACTGAACCTGGGCTCACCCGAGGCGTTCACCGGGTACAGCATCTCCTTGCTGGGCCTGCCGTCGTCGCTGAACAGCACCAGGATCGGCTGCTTGTTGGCGTGGCCCTGGTGCCGCTTGGCGAAGCGCAGGACGCCGCCGTCCAGGCGCCGGCCGTGCGCCGTCCGCACCGTCATCAGCAATCCTGCACGCCGATCGCGAGAGCGCACTTCAAAAGCCGCGCTAAGGCATCGTACAAAAGACAGCCTGAAGACACTGTCTGCTCTGAGGCGTGTTTTTTTTTCCTTGTGTGAACGGTCCTGTTCACATTGGTCACGAACAATCTGTTTGTAGACATGTTCTAAACATACAAACGCACGAAAGAAGCGTGTTTCGAACATAATTGGAGCGTGACCCCGCCGACAATTCCGTCATCGTGCCTGCAACGAATACCGGCAGTGTGACTGCGAATTTAGATTATGGTGTTAAACATTACAAAAACTCCCCCCCCCCCCCCCTTTTTTTTTAAAAATATCTGGGTGCACAGTCCCGTGCTTGCTCAAGAAGGCCAACAAAATTAAACCGAAACCAGAGAATCCGGCCGAGGCAATGCGACGTCATAGTGCACGGGGATCGTGGGGAGTCACCTGGTGCGAGTAAGCGCTCAATATTTTTTTTATTGAACCAACATATTCTCGGTGTTAGACAAATGGTAAAACTACTTACGCTTTGTGAACTCTATTACTTTTTATTAATTAACATTTGCCTCAAATTACCTACAACTTCGTTAAGATGAAAACCGTCCGACTCTAGATCGGTGGTTTTCTTAAAAAAAGGGACAGATATAAAGCACACATATGTTTCTAGGAGTCGTTGTATGCTCGTATGTTTCTTCTTAAAAAAAAGAAAAAAGAAATGGCAAGCAGAAATGTTTGTTAGTGTTTATTTTAACGCTCTCCGCGAAGTGCTTTTGCTGAGAGCAGTGTACACCCACCTAAGCACCGAGTGTAAATCACCTGTTAAATTCGGAAGGGCGACGACTGCTTTGAAAGAGGAAGATATTAGAGAGTTTTAGTAATACGTATAGGAGCAAACGCAGTCCCCATACGTTAACGTTAACGTTGCGTCGTCCACACTGCGCATGCGCCATACGTACGTACTGCGGCGAGCCTTGCGTACGTACGCTCGCTATCGATTTTTGCGAACGTACGTAGCGGTCTTCTGCGTGCCATCTCGTTGCTCTCGTCGCGCACGGGAGAGCGCGAGACTAGTCCAGTTTGAAAAATGGCGGCGGTGAGGCAAACCAGCGGAAGTACTACGCGCATTGTACGGGTTCGTTTTACCATTGAAGATGACATCCACCTCCTCGAAGAAGTCAACGCGACGAATCCTTTCGAGTACCCACAAAGATGGGTGCCGATAGCCAAAAACGTTGGCGACGCCGTCGGTACAAAAAAAAAAGAAGGACAAAACACGTACACAACAGGCACACGGAAACACGCACTTCCGTAACAAAGTGAGGAGAAACGGGGCTTTGCATTGGCTTGACGGAATACCCGCCTTGGATTGTTTGATGCAGTTTACAGGAGCACATCCAGATGGCGCTACAAGTCTTTACGTATGCCTTCTTCTTCCGCTGTACTAAAAGTGAGTATTCGACGCGCTCCGTAACGTTCCGTTGACGCAACGTTAACGCTAACGTAGGGGGTTTGCGTTTGCCCCTATACGTATTACTAAAACTCTCCATTTTGTCTCCCTTTGCTTTACCTCTGCCACCGCCCCGCCCCCCGCCCCCCCCTTTCCCCAAGCAAAAAAAAAAAAAAAAAACAGATTGATTTAGGAAACGTTTCTTCTACGTCATTAATCAGTGCAGTATATGTTTCATCACCGCCCGAGCACAAGCACCCCCTCAAACAACACACGAGCATGTGTACGTTTTGCATTCACAACATATCAAGGTCTGTGTACGCACAGTTTCAAAATAAGCGCGCTGTAGCCACTGTCGAGAACGGCAGGTTGTCAACAACAGTTGTCCCGCCTCCAGCGCGAGCTTCCTGGCTTCGATGGTGCTTCGGGGTCTCATGAGCCTCGAGCATGCACGCGCAGCCAAAGCACGGCGGAAGGCAACGAGCGCGTGCTGGAGGAAGGGAGTTCGAAAAAGACGCCTTGCCGTTCTCGCCCCGGCAGCGTAGCGAATTTAAACGTCAAGACTGGGAATACCCGTTGGTATTTTCATATGGTCCAATGGCTAAATCTCTATATATTTATTAGTGTAACTTTTAATGACAAAAAAGGAAAAAAAAACAACGAAAAACCCGCCCCGATAAATAACTTCAAAACGATGAATATATATATATATATATATATATATATATATATATATATATATATAAAGAAGTTCGTCCTCCTTCTTTCGTAATGACGCACAGAAAAGGCAAGATGGCGAATAATTAAAAACAAAGAAACATTATTAAGCTTGCTCATATTCGCGGGGCGCGCGTATCGTTCACTCAAATCACAAATTAAAAAAAAAAAATAATAAATAAAAGGCTTGGGACTCGGCAGATTTCAATTCCCCGTTGTAACGTTAGAACGGTCGAAACCGGATCGTCGGGCAATCACGAATTCAGATATCCTCCAATGCGTGTGGCCGTGTAATTATCAGAAGGGACATTAACTGCGCTCCCCGGGCATCGGCGTGTCTGACTTTATTCCCTCTCTTCTACGGATATTTTACTCTGTACTGTCTGAAAAAAATTGGGCGCAATCATTAAACTTAACGCGAAAAACAAAACAAAAAACTAACAAACTTTGCATACTAAAAACACACAATAGAATTTGAAATCCTGGCGTCTTTCCACAGAGTGTGTCAACGCCAGACATGTACACGTTACACCAAAAAGGTAGCTAAATAGTATTACTGATTACTCGCTCAAAAAGGAACTAAATACGTTACTCGTTACCCATCCTCGAAAGGAACGCGTTACTAACTTCAAAAGTATCTAGTTACCTTTCGCGTTACTTTGACGACCAAATACAGAACTGCTTTTGTTTCATGGTTTATGGTTTTCTTTTCAGAAGCCGTTGCACTTGAGCGGTAGCTGCCTCTCCAGGTGTTCATCAGTCCTGTTTCCCCGCTTCCTTGAGAATACGTCTCTGGCGACGCTGAAGGGTCGTTCTGCTGACGCGCACTCGAAGGAACGGCAGCGTTGTGCCTTAGGAAGAGCGTGATAATGTGGACGCTTGAGCTAGTTGGTAATTCATACCTGTGAGTGTGACTGCATATCCGCGCTGTTCCATTCAAGTAGGAAGAGCTGCTGAATTTGGAATTCCCTCTCTCTTTTAAACATCGAAGTTGACAAAGGGTTCTGTGCCTTCCCGTGTTGGGAACCCGCGGGTTTCCGTTCGGTCTGTACACGATTCTAGAACGTTCAACCAACGTATTCCTTATTCCGTTCGCTGGGTGAAGAACATTCCCAGGTGCAGAAGTGTAGTAAGTTGGGCGAGTTGGTATGATGACATGATGAACAGAACAGCGCACACAAAGACAAGGACAGAGAACAGCGCTTGTGTGTCCTGCATGTTCCTTTTCTCTGTCCTTGTCTTTGTGTGCGCTGTTCTGTTCATCATGACATTCCCAGGTGCAGAGTTCGACTGACGTGTTCAGCAATAAACGTTGGCTATTCTGTCATACTGTTTAGTTGTTTTTCGGGTCGCCCATCTGCCTTTGCTGCAATAGACGCATACTCTGGTTATAATGAAAACGCGGCCGTTCAAATTTTGTTGTGCAGGTTACTCCTCAAAAGTAACAAAATACCCTTACTCGTTACTTGGCTTTAAAAGTAACTAAGTACGTTACTCGCTTCTTGTCTGAAAAAAAAAGGTAACTAAATACGTTACTCATGGTTGAAAAAGTAACCAGGCAGAAGTACGTCGTTACTAGTAACGCCTTACGTACATGTCTGATCAACGCCCTTTGACCTTGCGTCATGGTGTTTTTTCGGGAGCTCTCGTTCAATCAAAGAGCGCCATTTGTGCGATGTTTATCGAGCTGCGTGGTTCTTAATACGACGGGTGAAAAAGGTGAAATGTGCCTTACACTTTAAGAAACCGGGAGCGTCTGCTCTCACGCAAAGCACTTCGGAAAGCCAATTGCTGCAATTCACGGAGGGCACTCGGTGAATGACGGAGCTGATACTATGTGAACCCCCTCCCCTCCCCTCCCCTCCCCTCCCCTCTCTCCTCTCCTCTCCTCTCCTCTCCTCTCCTTCCTCCCCCCCCCCCCCCCCCCCCGAAAAAGACAAAGCAAAAAAGTTTGCGTTGTAGCATTGAGCACGGTGAAACGTCACCGGGCAGACAGGTTTTTATATATTTTTTTCCTTACGTTTAAACATATTATTAGCTCCGTCACTCGCCGAGATATAGATATCAGCTTTCTCCCGCAGCCAAATGCTCTACGGGAGAAAAACCGCTTCAGATTTCTTAGAGTGATACCTCCTCACGTCAAGAACCACGAGACACGGGCATCCGTATTCCTTACTCCCAATCACTTCTCCTATCAATATTCCTACATTTAGTTTCTTTCATCACACCATAAACGACCGGAACGCCGTGCACTTTCAACTGTTCCTCGACACTAACTTTGCTCAAGTTTTAAGGCGTCTTTCTGCGTATAGTTCATGTCAGTCAGAAAGACTGTCAAGAGTGCAGTTTATGCTCATATTTTGTTTCGTTGGTGTCGGATTGGGATTTGTGTGTACGCACGAGTTTCGTTCCCTATTAAGTACCTTACTCTTAGGTGGACTTTAAATAGAAGGCAGTAACGAAATAAAGCTTGAAAATAATGCTGTTGTTATTACTGTACACAATGCCCGACAGCGTACGAATGTCAGAGTCACGAAGTTTCCAAATTCGCAATAATTCGCGCCGCACAAGCCTTCCACATTCCGGAAGTCGGTCTCGAAATCCGACTGCATTCCAAAGCAAAGTTATTGCGCTCAACGATCACTTACGGTTCCAGTTCGCAACTCGAACGGCGGGCGCTTCATCACCTTTCCTGCGTTTCGCATTTCGGCGGCGAGGCCGCGCCAATTTTCGCATGCACAATTGAATAGGCGGTTGCTGGCACGCTTCTCTCCTTCACTTACTCTCCGCTGGATGGCGGGTAGCCTCCTCTCGAGTTGCTAAATGGTAATAATGTCGACG